ACTTTGAGTAGATACAAGGTGCAAAGGTACTTCTAACAATGCTCTCCAAGGTATAAGATTCAAGTTTTAGTTTCTTCTCCTTGGCTTACTTGGTCCTCTCTTTCTATCGCTTCTCTTTTTTTGTTTCTTTTTATTATTTGCCAAATTCCTAGACATGCTCTTTTATTAACTTCTTTGTGCCTCCTACTGGGGCTCTTCCACTAGGATTTGAAAACCAGCCTCACCTGGTAGTAGAAGAATTTGAGAACAGTCTCCTAGCTCTAAATCCTAGTTGCACTGCAATAGCTCCTCTAAATGCCTAGGCTCCCAACTAGCAAATCCAGCTATTGTCTTTAAGACACATTAAATGAGTGGCTTCTTCTTTCTTATTCACTCATTGCTCTTTGGTGTATAACACATGAATTTGGAGCCAAACTCCATGCTTATTGTGTTATAAAATAAAAAAAACTGATCACAAACACTTTATATTCAGCCTTTATATGCAAAATGGTGTAAAGAAGTTTAGCATAATTTAATATACTGATGGCTTAATACAAGGCCCCACTGAGCAATATGGTATGGAGCTGGGGCTTAAACTTAAGTTAAACACACAATAAAGAGTGACATAATAAAAACTAAATTAGTCATGTTTTCAACCACTATTTTTACTATATATTTGGAACCCCCTATAAACCCCTTTTATATAATAGCCTCACCTTAATCTTATAAGATAATATTTAGAATAAGTTTGAAAACTTATTAAATATGAAATAGTGTTAAATAATAAATTAGGACTTGGGATCATGTTTAGAAGGCTCTCCACATTTCATAGATATGTTTAATTAACAAATCTAGACACCTTCCATATATAGCTAATGAAACCAAGAAAATATTACATATAAGAGTCCTTGATAGTAAACTATTATATAGTGAATTGAGGGATTACTGCTCAATATACAAGGGTTCTTGCAAAGTCAATCCAAGACAAAGCAAAAGAAAATTAGCAAACCAAGTTAAGTAAGTTTGGCTAAATAGACATTTAGATTTTTTTCTTTATATTGATACAAATGCTAAACTTAGTTTATTAATATTGGTATTATCCTATTAGAATGTTTGAAATAATTGATTGACAGGTATCTTTTGATACCTAAAGTTATATTTGCAACATTTGATTGTTTATATTGTAAGCTTGTCATTAATAAGAGGGGAGATGATAAAACTATTAATACTAAAATAATAGAGAAAATAAATTCAGAAACCTAATTTAGGTATGGGTCTATAGTAATCCCAATGCCCATCCACATATATACTAGTCTTGAATTCAAATTTCATGACTAAAGGTTTGGGGTTCACTTCTAACTATGGTCATTAATAATGAATATAACTCCTCAGTAAATACAGAAAGATAATTAAAAGTTGTATCAAATTAGTTTCTAGAGTTCCTATTTAGAGTATTTAAAGCAAATCTTGGCAAATATGACACCATCCCCACTTTAATGCCAAACACCAAGCAGCAATTGAAATGTAGACTTACATGGATGTCATCAATGGAAATTCATAAAAAATTTAGAAATATAAGTAAGATGAGAAGTAAGTTCACAAATATGATTGCTACGAGAATACCTAAGCAAGTTGACTAAACAATAAAGTTTGTAGTATTAATACTTTGAGTTAAGTATGATAGCAACCTCAAACTCTTGCTCACAAGCAATAACCTTTAGAGGAGGTGATGGTGGAATACGAGTTTGATTAAAAGGGGCATAAAGTTCTAACAAAAAACTATAGAACACCAAATATTTATTATAATGGTGTGTGGTTTTTAAATAATGACAAACTTAAACATTTTATCCAATTAAATAAAAAGGATTAGGTTGTCAAGAATGATCAACACTATGGCAATAAATAACATGAGCATGAAAAAGGTGATGATAAATTTCTTCATTAAAAGAATCTAAGATAGTTGCATAAGCAATAAATTTATTTATAAGATCAAATGTTGAAGGAAATAAATATGACCAATGAAGATCCATAGAAGATGAAAAATAGAAAATGATGTGTTGAAGAGTGCTAAAAATTATTATAAGTAAATTCATTTGCAGGAAGGAAATTAACCCAATCATCTTATTTATGAAAAATAAAGCATCAAAGATATTACTCAAGACTTTAAATAGTATGCTCTAATTTCCTATTAATTTAAGGATATTAAAATTTTAATTTGTTTTTTATATGAAAAAAGGGAAGAAACTAGTGCCAAAAGCTGGATGTAAGTTCTTGAATTCAACCTAGTATTATGTAAACACAAAAACACTTAACCTCAACTATCCCAAGACTAACTAATTGTAAAATAAAGTGCATTTTTATTAATAGGACTTTTATGGATAATTTCTTGAATTGTTCTCTTGAGATATTTATAATCCACCAAGCCTTTATGAATGGAAGATGAGAATCACAACTTTCCCAAGATGTCAATCTCAACATGTGGTATGATTCAAAATTAGACCTAAAACCCCTATAATAATATTGAATGAAATCTCAATATATGGTATGATTCTCTTATTCAAACCTAGGTAACTTCAAAATTCAATAGTTAAATATTATTATAGGGCTTTTAAGTCTAAACATCTTTAACCCAGTAATATTCAAACCTAAGGACATTTATACCCAAGCCTTCTATAATAATATTTAATAACATCTCAATATATAGTGTGATTCATTTCACCAATCAACACCTATGATAATATTTAACTTTAAAACCCTTATGATATTATTTAGCTCTTGACATTATTAAACCCAATGATGTTTAACCTTAAGTATTTCAATTCCTTCACTTTTGTATATGGGCATTTTTCTTTTATATTTAAACCTTTATGGATCGTCTCTTGAGTCATTCTCTTTAGTTATTTACAATAAAAATAAATTGAGGCCTTTAATCATTAACAACATTATATAACAATTTATAAACTTGAAAAATATTCTTATAAATAAGCTCAACCAGTTAGTCTCCATTAATTCTATTGTAACATAGCAAGAAATATATTATTTTGGAAAATAAATTAGCCATAATAAGAATATTGTCAAATCCACAAAAAGGTGAAAGATTAGTAAGGAATAAATTTCAAAGACCTTAAAGCAAGAAAAGACAAAATAAGACAAATATTTTGTCTTTGGAGAAGACAAAATAAAGCATATTGAGGCATTTTGGTTCATTGATGCATATCATAAATACAATATACTTGTGCATATAGGGCTAACAAAATTATCATTAGATCATTTTTAATGCTTTGTAGATATAAAAATGTTATAACATGCATGCTTGGACAATAAACAATTTTATTTGCCATTTAGTTATATACAATTGCACTTATTGATAAATAAGTCCAACCCAAAATAGAAGAAATTGATAATCACCATGTTGGGTTAATAAAACCCCAAAAAAGCTATTGCTAAGCTTTTAAATAAATAGTTTAATAGTTTAAGAGGGAGTGATAAAGGAATAGAGAATTGTGTAAGAGAGTTAATTTAAAAACAAGAGATCAAAGATAATTTAATGTTAAAGGTTGAACAAGATGAAAATGCAAGATAATTGTATTGAGTAAGAGCATTAACCTTCCTATTTTCTTTCCTTAGACAACTTATATTGATAACTAGACCCTCGCTATCAAACATTGTTGTCATACCAATATTTAGCTTTAAACTAAGAAGCCGTTGTTAGTGCTAATTTATTACACCTACAAGTGAAGTGTTATATTGAATACTCTAATATTTGATTTAATTTTTATAAAGTATTGAGATCTGATTGAAAACTGTTGATATTAGATGTTCAAACTATCAATAGCTCATCGTTGAGAGAAAGGGAGACGACAAAATTACAAATAAAATGGAGGAGAAAAGATTAAGTACTCTAAGTATAAATCCTAAAAACCCTACTTTGAAAAGGTGATATGGGTTCATCTTGAGTTTAAATCATATAAGTAGAAGTTTGGGGTTCACTTCTTATTATGAATAGTAGTAATAAATATACTCCTTAAAAAAATACAAAAAGATAGCAAATATATGACACTCCACACTACCTGAGTAGAGAGTGAGAATCAGCTGTAGACACTATAGATAAAGACAATAACAAAAGGAGTCTTAATCTTTAGATAAAATATTATTGTTGCTTTACTTATTATCTAAATATCTTAATATAATGTAATATTTTTATTATGATTTAAAAATTAATTTGTTATAAATATTATTATTTGAAAATATTAATTTATATATAAATTTTTCTTTTGTAAACAGTTAAATTTATAAAATAATATTATAATTTTTATCTAGGAAATATTTATTGCGTCATTTATTAATAAAAATATTTCATTCAATTTCACAAATTATATAAATATCTTCTAAAAATCAAACTCATAATTGTCCAATAAATCAAGCTTAGACTCCACGTCAGTGAAGGATCTTCCTTCACTAGCAAAATACCTGGCTTCAGTCCTTGCATTGATATCACTAGAATATAGTAAAATAACATCTAAAGCCTTAATGAATGACAACATGATGAAGACGACAAACAGGTATGACCAATTGTCACTATGGCATATTTGATCTGCCGGTCTCATGCTGCAAGACCTTGTAAATAGTATGAATGAATGAATGAAAATATATTGTAATAAAAGCTAACAAGAATGTCTTCCAGATCTAGCAGCTTATAAGAATAAATTATATGATTGACTTTGTTTAAAGACTGGAGCAGCAAGGATTAAGGGCACTAGGGAATGAGGAGCTGTCGAGGAGGAGGAGGCTTTAGTTGGGCTTTAAAACAATCATCCTTAGCGTGCTATCAACGCTCTTCACTCTGAATGTGGAATTCAACCCGAACATACACAGCATAAATATTAAACTCAATTGTAGAGCTCCAGTAGTAAAAACAGCAGGCAGAATGGAGAACAAATGATCTCCTTGAAATATGTTATTAAGAGGTGTACTGCTACGGTTTTTAAAATCTCGAAATTTGAAATTCCCCTATGCGAGCAATGGAGCTTGGATTTGTAAGAGTTCTTCTCGTATTGACAACTCTTTTTCTCCAGAGAATTTCCTGCTGGAGCGACGTCGAGTGCCTCAGGGAGTTCAAGAGCTCGTTCGGGGATCCCATGCGCTTCCTCGACTCGTGGGTCTTCCCGCCGACATCTAACATCTGCAACTTCGCCGGGATCACTTGCCTCCACCCGAACGATTCCAGTGTGTATAGCATCTCTCTGCCAGCATCCGGGTTCACGGGGGAATTTCCTCGAGGCCTGGACAAGTGCTCCAGCCTCACGTACCTCGATCTCTCACAGAACGAGCTCAGCGGCAGCATTCCACCCAACGTTTGCAGCATTCTTCCATACCTGGTGGCCTTCGACATCCACGAGAATTCCTTCTCGGGATCCATCGATACCTCCTTCAACAATTGCACCTATCTCAACAATCTCGACCTGAGCGAGAACAGATTCTCGGGACCCATTCCCGGACAGATTGGAGTTCTTCCGCGGCTAACCAAGTTTGACGTCTCCAACAACCAGTTCTCGGGGCCAATTCCATCATCTTTAACCACGTTTGACTCTAGCGTCTTCGCCAGCAATCCAGTACTGTGCGGTCAGCCTCTACGTAACGAATGCCCACGCAGGAGCTGGCAATCCGAGGTGCTGGAGGCTATCCGAGGGTCCTCTCCAATTCTCATATTCTCCAGTTTGTCTAGCTTCTTGATCGTCTTGAGCTTGATTCTGGCCATATGATAGTCAAGAAGAACCTGATTATGAAAATGTCTCTCTTTGTTTGAAAATAGTCTTTGTTTAAAAATTTGAACTCCAATCAACGATCCATATTTAAAGTCCCCAGTCTCACAGTCAAGAAAAGTCAACACAACACCACCAGGGAGGATCATGGCGGAACGATCACGGCGCTCCCGCCTTTTTGACCAGACAGAGTTTTCCAAAGACTTTGCTACGTGAGATCCACGCCGTTGAAAATTGCGCAACACCTGCCGTGGATTCCTAGCCTTGACCGAAGAACGCAATCTAGGCCGTCCGTGCGCATTTTTCATGGAATTGGCTATGGCGGCCCCAGAGCACACGCTAGGATAATGCAAAGGGAGAGAAGGCGGCAGGGCTAGGGCTTTAGGGAGAGGCGAGCGGGATAGGATTGCGAGCTGCTGCGGTCCCGCTAGAAATCAAGGTGTGTCGAGCGCCTCGAAATATCGGTCGAGCTCCTGGAATCTCGCGGCGATGGAGGCGGCCAGGGCCGGATTATCGAGCATTCTCGTCATCGCGCTGCTTCTCGAGGTAATTTCTTGCCAGAGCGACGTCGAGTGCCTCAGGGAGTTCAAGAGCTCGTTCAGGGATCCCATGCGCTTCCTCGACTCGTGGGTCTTCCCGCCGACGTCTAACATCTGCAACTTCGCCGGGATCACTTGCCTCCACCCGAACGATTCCAGAGTGTATGGCATCTCTCTTCCAGGATCCGGGTTCACGGGGGAATTTCCTCGAGGCCTGGACAAGTGCTCCAGCCTCACGACCCTCGATCTCTCACAGAACGAGCTCAGCGGCAGCATTCCAGCCAACGTTTGCAACATTCTTCCATACCTGGTGGGTTTCGACGTTCACGAAAATTCCTTCTCGGGATCCATCGATACCTCCTTCAACAATTGCACCTATCTCAACAATCTCGACTTGAGCCATAACAGATTCTCGGGACCCATTCCCGGACAGGTTGGAGTTCTTCCGCGGCTCACCAAGTTTGACGTCTCCAACAACCAGTTCTCGGGGCCAATTCCGTCATCTTTCCTTGGCCGGAACTTCCCGTCTAGCGCCTTTGCCAGCAATCCAGGGCTGTGCGGTCAGCCTCTACGTAACCAGTGCTCTAGGAAGAAGAAGACGAGCGCGGCACTGATAGCGGGCATCGCGGCTGGCGGAGTTTTAGCTCTCGTGGGGGCGGCGGTGGCTCTCATTTGCTTCTTCCCGGTGAGAGTCCGGCCCATCAAAGGTGGAGGAGCAAGAGACGAGCACAAGTGGGCCAAGAGGATCCGAGCTCCACAGTCGGTGACCGTGTCACTGTTCGAGAAGCCTCTTACCAAGTTGAAGCTGACGGACCTCATGGCCGCGACCAACGACTTCTCGCCGGAGAACGTCATCGGCTCCGGCCGCACAGGTGTGATCTACAAGGCCACGCTTCAGGACGGGTCCGTGCTCGCGATCAAGAGGCTCAAGCTCTCGGCTCATGCGGATAAGCAGTTCAAGTCGGAGATGGAGATTCTCGGCAAGCTCAAGCACCGCAACTTGGTGCCTTTGCTCGGCTACTGCGTCGCCGACGCCGAGAAGCTGCTGGTTTACAAGTACATGCCGAATGGGAGCTTGAAAGACTGGCTGCATGGGACGGGGGAGTTTACGCTCGACTGGCCCAAGAGGCTTCGGGTGGCTGTCGGAGCGGCCAGGGGGTTGGCGTGGCTCCACCATAGCTGCAACCCGAGGATCATCCACCGGAACATCAGTGCTAGCAGCATTTTGCTCGACGAGGACTTTGAGGCCAGGATCACGGACTTTGGCCTCGCCCGCCTCATGAACCCGGTTGACACCCACATCAGCACGTTTGTCAATGGAGACTTCGGAGACGTCGGGCACGTAGCGCCCGAGTATTTGAGGACCTTGGTGGCGACCACGAGAGGAGACGTATACAGCTTCGGCGTGGTGTTGCTCCAGCTGACAACCGGCCAAAAGCCTGTGGAGGTGGTGTCTGAGGATGGTTTCCGGGGGAATCTCGTCGACTGGGTGGGAATGCAGTCCCAGAACGGCACACTTGGGAGCGTGATTCAGAGCTCGCTGAAAGGGGCCGAGGTGGACGCCGAGCAGATGCAGTTTCTGAAGATAGCCATCTCGTGCGTTGCCGCGAATCCAAAGGAGCGACCTTCTTCCTACGAAGTCTACCAGCTGCTGCGAGCGGTAGGCCAGAAATACCACTTCTCGGATCAAAACGACGAGATCCCTTTGGTCGACTCGACGGGGATCGACTGCGACGAGCTTATCGCGGCGTCACGCTCCGGCTGACCGGGAGGACGCCCGCGCAAAGTCGTTCACGTAGCTGGTGTGGTTTGTGAGGATTTCGCTTTCGCTTTCTCCATTCGTTTCGTGTAGACGAAGCGTGAGGTACGTAGCTAGTGGGGGACAGGCAAGCTCTCGTCCTCGTCCACAGATGGAAACTCTGGTCGGGGTTGCAAATAGGCACAGGTGGTATACAGATACACAGGTGGGACTCTCACTTATATAACGACGAAACGGGAGAGCCATCGCGCTTCAGCACACGGATTTCTCTCTGGATGGCAGTCAAACAGCTCAGGCCCGACTGTCTGGAGCTCGCCATTCACAAAGCAGGCTCTGAAAGACGCCACAGCCTTCTCGTGACGACACTCCTCGTCGCTGCTTTTACCACCGCCAGGAGAGTTGCCACCACCACGTAGGTACTTGCGAGCTCGCCCTCTCCTGATTAATGCGGCCGTTTTCAGCAGTACACAGGGACGCCAGCTCCACTTCCTCCCGGACCGCAGTAAAAGCGTCGAGTGGATCTTCCTCCTCCTCACAGGTCTTTCGTTTCTTTCTCGTGTCCTGATGCTTCATCGCTTTAGGTGTGATAGTGTTCGCCTTCTCGTCCTCGTCCTCCCAGGCCGCTGCCACCGCTCCAGAGCTCCCTCGTGCATTCTGCCAGCCATAGCCTCGCTCCAAAGTTGCCAGTGTCCATCTCCGTCGTTGTGAGCCATTATGGAGACCATCCTCTTCCGCCACCCTGCTGCTCGTCTTGTCCTGTCGTCCCTCTTCCGTCTCTAGTGGCGTTTTCTTTTCCCCGCTGCGTTCGCTATTCCCAGTCGTGAGAATTTATCTCCTGCTGCGTCCTTTTCATCTCTGTCAGCCTTGACACTCGAAACTGTTTAGCTAGGCCGGACTCTGGACCACACTCGAGCTTGGCAGTCTTGTCCATTCCCATTTGGAATCGTCGTCACTGGAGCTTGGATTTGACACCAATCTGCGACGTTTTCTCCGCGTAGTTTACGTCACCGACGAGCTTGACGAGAGCCTCAGCTTGACTTACTGATGTAGCTCGTGTTTCAGGCGAGCTCCCTGTGCGGGCTCCTATTGCCTTGATTGTCCCGAGAGGCAGTATTGCGAGAGAGAGCTTATTTATCGCGAACTTCAGGAGAGATCCTCGACATCTACGTTCTTCGAGAAGCGCGTAGTATATTCTTTTGCAAGACCTTTAATATCTCGTATATTCGTCTAGGGCAAACTTGAATTAACGTTGCGAATGGAGTGCGTCGTCCCTTGTCTCCTTCGTTCCGTCTTATGCTTGTCTTACAGAATTCAAGGATGCTCCTCTTCCTGTGAAATCTGTTCGTCTTCTCGAGCTGCTGCTGCCTTTGGTGAGGCCGAGGCTGGCGGTCGTGAACTCAAACGTGAGGTACACGCAGGAGGTCCTATGCTGCTAGGGAGTCTCCCAGACCACGAGTGGATTTTCATGTCTTTGTTATGAGTCTTGAGGATATTTGCAAGTTCCATGCAAAGATCAGATATGGTTGCGTTCTTGCTGTCGTTCTGATTGATGACGACAGCCCAGAGTTCTTTACACAGGTTAGCTACTGTGTGGTATTGTATTCTAGTGCCGACTGAAGTGCGCCATGCAGGTCTTTGCCATGCTAAAGTGTTTAGATTTCGTCTTGAGCCTTCCGTTGGTAGTTTTCAGGTTTGTTTCATGTCTCGCTCTTGAAAGCTTGTGTCAAGCAGCTTCTGTTGTTATGGCAGACTCATGGCTTACTCCACGGGCACCTTCGTACATGGCTACGGAGCAGCGGGAAGTCTTGGAGCAGAACTTCCAGGTACGTGCTAGTCTTATTGAATTCAGTTTGAATCTCACTGTGCTGCCCTGACCTGCTGGATCGATGGTTCTGCAATACAGTTGATTCCTTTTCCGTGTATGCACGCAACGTCGTCTGCCAGGACTTGTCAGCTATGGTGACATTCATGCCAGGCCTCATCCCAGACCACTCAGGCGACGCGTCAGTCGTTGTTGTTTCTCAGCACAGGATTCCTCAGCTTTTAGATCTCCTGCAAGCGTTTGTGGAGATCTAAAAGCTGCACAGGGACTTGGCTGGTGATGGTTTTAGAGCAAAGGCGGCGGTGGAAGCCGAGTGGCGGGGAGCGGTGTCTTGTGCCGATTGCAACATTCAAAAGGCTTAAAAAACCAACTTCCAGGAAAGTTGTTTTGGTATTGATCCCAGTTGGATAGTTTCTTTATCTCAAAATGTTTCGGCTGTGATTTTTTGCTCAAAACTATTTAAATTTCTAAAGTTAGAACAGATGTTTCTTTAGAGATGATTTAGGCTGCTTCTATTATGACTGGGCTTTGAAAAAGAATGCACAAAAACCAGAGAGGCATGTAGTAAAACAGGAACGCTCACAGGTAAGTTCTTGCCAGTTTTGTTTCTTAATTAAGCGCAATAATACTAGAGATATTATGTATGATGCATGAATGCACTGCTGTCGAGCTTGGATTGGTTGAAGACTGTTGTGGAGCTTGGATTGAAGATATTGTTTATCATGTAGTCTAGTTCCAAGCTCCCGTAACTATGGTCAAGGTGCTCACGGGTGGCACTGACCCTTCTAGTCAGCTCAGGTCAAACATCCCCTGCTAATGCATCTATGGATTAATTTGTGTCAATCTTGCCTCACACCACTCTCAGCTGTGATCAAGGAGCTCCTCCTCATCAACTTTCCATTGCTGCCTCTAATCGTCCAGGTAGCCTGCAGATTAAACAAGCAGAAAAAGACAGGTATGGCAAACGAGCACCTTTTTTATTCCAGCTTTTTGATTTGCCATTCCTTTTGTGTATTTTAAGTTTCAGTTCTGGCAAAATAGAAAGTCTCAGGAAGTAGAAACTATTTATAGTATCTGTATATATATATATATCCGTAATCAAGTTCTATCGCTTTTTTTTTTTTTTAATCTCTTCTTTGAATCCTTGTGTGATGGCACAAGAAGGTGGTCTTCTCTGTGGCTGAAAGAGATGGCATTGCTGTTTGTGACATTCAATAACTCACGGAGCATTTGGTGGTAAAGCAAGGAGAAGCTCTT